CCAGGCGGGGGGCGGCAGCGTGGCCTTGCCTCTGCTCAGGTAGCTGCCCATGATCGCGGTGCGGCAGGAGCGGGACCTTCGAGGGGGACTCGGCTCCCAGACGGTCCTGCTGTGTGCGGACGCGAAGTGTGCAGGGGTAGGCTTACCGTTGCTATTCGGGCGCAAGGACGGCGCGCGGGCGGCTGCCTGCAAGGTCAGTAGGTGGAGCGTCTGAGCGCAAGCACAGCGAGTGGGTCGTTCCTGGTCAAGGAAAGCACGTAGGGTGTCTGCTATACAGTGCATGGGGTGTCCATGCGCAAGGGATAGCGCGTGGGATGTCCGCGCACTGGAGCCGTCGGGGCACGCGCCAGGCCAGCACCCCACACCCACCGGCACCTCACCAGACACCCCCTGCTCTTGAGGCCAGGGGAACCTCCAGTTTCCTGGTGCTGGTCCCAGGCACGGGGCTCTGGGCAGAGGGGCCTAGGAGCGCCTTGATATCTGTACTTGAAGTTCAGAGGAAGAAAATATAATTTCTACCAGGTTCTGAGAAGTATAGAAAATTGACAGAAAGGCACTTTCATTCATTGTAAAAATGCACACCATACACTTGAATGCTCTTTTAAGGAAAACAGCGAATTTATTTTCATTGGTAAAGGGGATGTATATTTCATTTTCTAGAATGGTTGCTAGGGTCACTTCTTGCAATTTTGGTCTTAAGCAAATGGCGAAAGCCATTCAGGATTTTCTGCTTTAGCACTGACAACGTTGGTTTCATGTGGACTCTTCTATAATTTCCAACCTTCATACATTTCATACATTCAGATATAGATCGTCTGCGGTCTGAACACTAATGCCATTTCTTTCTTGTCATTTCTACTGGTAATCCATGTGTACAGAGTTGAGGGAGGCACATTTCCAATTTACAGTTGGAAAATAGGCAACTTCAAAAACAGTGTTCAAAGGCTTATGGCAAATTGATTATAGCACTTAAGGTTGGACTCCTGTTATCGGTCTGGCCCCAGCACTGGAGTGGGAGAGGCACTGAGATAGTGGCCAATAGAGCAAGTGTTAGATCCAGAGTGGGCCATAAATTTGTCTGGATCTAGGGGGTGGAAGGCTGAATGAGGACACTGAAAAGAGCTTAATGAGGAAATACAATAGGCTTCTGTGGTTCAGAGAGGTCAAGTGTTGGTTTAAAAGCAGGCATGCTGTCAGCTTGCAGGTGATGGAGAATGAGGTCCCTAACGTTCTCTGCTGAGTAATTTTTCATTTTTCTTGTTTTTTTGTAAATTTTTTATTTAAAGAATTATCCTCAAGTATATGATTTTGAAACAAAGGAAATTTTAATATAATTTTCTTCTTAATAAAGCCTTTCTTCATAATGGTAGAAATGACTTTAAATTCATAGCTAAGATGCCACTTAAGGTGGCTATAACACCAGACTGAATGGTCTAATGAAATTTGGTATTATTTGCTTATTTTTGAAATTTGGTGTTTTTTTCTTCCCATAATCTGCAGAATTTCCCATGTCCTCCTTTGCAATGTAACCAAGCGGGTGTCATTCTGGTAAAAAAAAAACCCCCCCCTTCCTGCGGATGAGGTACAGTCAGCCATAAGGTAATCTCTGCTAAATACGCCTTCTACGAGTAAATCTATTTGTCGATTAATTCAACTCTTTTTATAGATGTTAAAGAATTCTCTCTCTGCTTCATAATGATTTATTAAGATGTCACAGATTTCATTTCGTTAGTTTGTTTTAGAGATTAGTGTAGATCAGCGGTTCTCATCTGGGGCAGTTTTGCCTCCAAGGAGACATTTGGTAACGTCTGCAGACATTTTTGTTGTCACAGTTGTGGGGGGAAGGTTGCCACCAGCATCGAGTAGGCAGAAGTTAGAGATGCTGCTAAACATCCAGCTGTGCCCAGGACAGCACCTCACAACAAAGAATTATTTGACCCCAAATGTCAATCCTGTTTTGTTTGAGAGATCCCGGTTTAATTATTGGCTACGAATGTTTAGTACTGTCTTCTTTTGGCGAGAACGCCTTGTATAACACTATCGTGTGACGGTTCATGACGTGGGTTCTGGAGCCTTGATGTATCAGGTTTTTAATTATGGTTTTGCCTCTTGCTAACTATTTCAATACAGACAAGTTACTTCCCCTGTTTTGCTTTCCTCTTATCATCTATAAAACAAGAATAATTATGGTACCCCTCTCTCAGAGTTACCGAGGAGATTAAACGAGTTAATAAATGTAAGGTGTTTTGAGGGACAAGTCATACCTTTGACTTTTATTTTAAAAAACCATACAAATATTCACATTTCTTGGGTCTCTAAGGACTGACCTTCCTTAGTCAATGTATAGACTTGACCTTTAAAAGACACCTTTTCTGAAAAAGGTAAAATTATGATTCATACAAATAAAAAATAAATGCTTTCAAAGATTTTAATATTTCACTAATTAATGAGGAATCTAGTTAAGATGTTAAAACTAGTTCGAAAGAGACTTAGTGAGTGACTGACCGGTTCTAAGATGTCTGTTTTAGCTTTGTTGTGAGGGCCTGCCCTTATTCAAGGTCAGTCTTGGCTGAAAGATTTTCATGTTGATTGATACCCATTGGGGATTTCAGAGATGGAGATTTAGTTTACTGAACTAGAACTTCTTTCTAATCAGCCTGAGCGGTGATAGAATAGCAAAGTGTTAACCAACCAGGTAGCTAGAACGAGAATGCAGAGCAGCTTTTCATTTCATTCTGAGTTATACCTTAGTAGCGGGATTCATTATTTTGTGGAAAGGTTCATGTTACCAGATTATCGATAGTAGATTATGAAAAAAATTCTATAGTTTGGTAAAAATTCCATTGAAATTATCCCCTGCTGTAGGTGATCTGGTTGGGATTCTCCTTCGCATTCATGAATAACCATCCCTCAGCATAGATTTTTATTTACTAAAGGAGGTCTTTCCTGATAGCCTGGTGCGGGTCTGCAGACACTCTGAAACCCTTACTATCAAATTCAAGACCTGCCTGTCCAGTACAGCAATTACCAGCCACATGTGGCTATTGAGCACTTGAAACGCAGCTAGTCCAAGATTAGATAGTGTAAAATACACACTGAATTCCAAAGACTTTGGTGCAAAATAAAATGAATCAACTCAATATTGATTACATATTGAAATTATATTTTCTTGGATCTATTGGGCAAAAATATATTATCGAAATTAATTTCATCTGTTTCTTTTTACTTTTTAAAAAAAAACGCAGCTCCTAGAAAATTTTAAGTCACACGTGAGACTCACATTATAATTCTATTTTCCAGTGCTGCTCTAGGGCTAGATGAAGTAAACTTGTCTCGTGTGAATTCAGTAAAGGCCATATGATATCTTTGAGAAATCTCCTCATCTGGTTTGAAAATTCCAGTTAGAAATTCACTTCTTTGGTCTCAGTCAAATAAGTCTTTGCTACCAACCCTTCCCTAACTACTACCACCACCAAAAATGCAGATTCCCTCCAGGAAGAGTGAAACATTCACCTTTATGTTTTCTAGACTTTGGACTCCTAAAGCACAATTTCCTTCAGTCATGCGGACCTACTTGCAGTTTCCTGAGCAGATCATACTATATGCCGTGTCTCTATTACGTGTGCTCACTACATGCTTTGGTCTAAGGAATTCCTACTTGTTCTTTAAAACACAGCTCAAAAGTTGCCTTCTCAAGAAAGCAGCCCTGATTTCTCAGTATGTTGTACGCGGCCCTTTGCTGTGCTCCCACTCTGCCCACATTGTCCTCATTCATAGAGCATTTTGCACCTCACTGTGATTGTAGAGGGGCTCATCTGCCATCCTTCTACACTGTAAGCTCCTTGATATTTTTATTTCACTTTGTAGCTCCAGCACCTAGCAATATACCTGGTACTTAGTTGTCAGCAAATGTTTATTGAATTAATGAGAAAAAAAAAAGGATCAAATTGATGGATTTACAGCTGCTCCTGGCTTCATGTTTTCTTTTCTCTTCCTGGTTTTCTTTTTTTTCCTCATATTTATCCCCACTTTTTTTTTTTTTTTTTTTTTTACATATAATTTTATCTCCTGGGGCTATTGGTATTTACGTAAGTCACCTTAAATAGAGTCCTGCCCTTTTAATTTAGATGCTACCTCTCAGGAAATAAAACCAGGGCAGAGCTCAGAGCTCAGGACTTCCATTTACTTCTAGGGCATTCGAAACAATGGAGGGCAGTAGTGCACAGAAGAGCCAGCACTGCAACTTAGACTGTCTAGTCAACCTGAAGTCTTGGGATGCTGCATTTACAGAGATTGTATAATCATGGGGAGATAAGTTTATACCTTCTGTTTCTAATGTTGTGGTTTTGTCTTGTTTTGTTTGATTGTCATATTTTAGAATGAATAGGAACCGGATCAACAATGCCTTCTTTTTGAATGACCAGACTCTGGAATTTTTAAAAATTCCTTCCACTCTTGCACCACCCACTGAACCATCTGTGCCCATCTGGATTATTATATTTGGTGTGATATTTTGCATTGTCATAGTTGCAATCACGCTATTGGTTTTATCAGGAATCCGGCAACATAGAAGGTGAGATTTGGAAAGGGAATGATTTAAAGAGCATTTTTCTATTTCCTCATGACTTGGAAAGATAAAGAGAGGATTCGCCCCTAGCTGAAGACAATGCCTTATGTCTGAAACCTTGAAAAAACATGGGCTATTTTCAAAATGTCGCTTATATTCTTATTTTTAGAGACTTTTTTCTTATTTTTGGAGTCCATTGTCCTTTACTTAACTATGGCTCCTTCCATTACTATTGCTCTCTCTGTTCTATACCATATAACTGTTACATATCCAGACTCAATTTTAATATCTGCGTTATGATTTTGTAAGCTGGACGTACAGAGCTAGGCAGACTTTTCAGGTAGGCAGAATTGATCTTTGGTAGTCACGTACGTCCAAATGCCAGCCGCCCCACAGTTCTTTCCATGCCTCCCCACCTGGGCCTGCCTCTTCTTGGCCCAGTGCCTGCAGCCATCGTATCCCAGATAGTTTTTTGCTATTTTAGACTTCCCTCCCTTTGATGGATGCTCATCCCTCTAGTGCCTATGATATCACATAGGACCATGCTCCTCAAAGCAGCCTTTGAATGAACTCCCTGCATCAGAAAATAATTTTGTTTACAAGTACTTCTGATCCGGAGGGGACGTGGAGAGAGTCCTCAGCTCTTCACTAGACACTTAGATGCTTCTAAACCTTCCCTTCTAATACCGAGGAAGAGGAATTCTGGTAAGTGGGAATCACAGTGACGTGCATTGGTTTTCAGAAGGGTTGGTGGCCAGATGGGATATGTGCTATGTGTTCGGCCAAGCGTGTGTTCAACTAAATGTTTTTCCTTAGGTTTACTACTTTCCATGCATTTCCCCCTAGTTACTAAAAGAAGGCAATCATTTTAAATCTTGGGCTTTATAATTTTTTCAGAAATGATAAGGGAAATGCTACGAAAGAAATGTGGTTTATGTCTAGTACCGACTTAAAGATTAAGATCAAGTTGCTCTTGCTTGAATTTTCTTGATCTTGGTTTAACATGTAATACAAAGAGATTTGGTACATGTTGTTTGTTATGGTTTGTTTTTTTAAAAGGATGATAAGAAATATTCTCTTGTAATATTTGAATACCTATGTTTAATATTTTTAAGTTTTGTGTTAATCCTAAAATGCTGTGATTCTGTGGTTTCTAATGATTGTAACCTTTGGAAATTCACTTCATCTCCTTGGTTCTCAACTTTCTTTCTAGTACCATGTAGTGTAGGAGTTAGAAAAATGGACTCTGGAGATAGACTGCTCAGATTCCAAGTATGTGTCTCCTAGTTAATGGATATATAATCCATTAACTATGGATATCAGGAAACACAGGCAATGAGTCAGGGAAACCAAGCTCTGGAGAATATGGTTGGTGCTTCTAGAGTCAAGTTGGCTAAGTTATTATTGTTATTATTTTTTACTATCTGTGCGTAGTTAACTTTGCTAGAGCGACAGCGAGGTATACTGGAAATATTTAACTTGGTAGGATAAAAAGAGTTAATCCAGTAAAGTGCTTAGAGTGGCACCTGGCACACAGTGAGCGCTCAATAAGTGTTAGCTGTTACTATTATTTTATTATCCTGCCATTTACTGGTCTTCCAGCCAGTTTATGCTGGGATCGGCTATCTCCTTCCTTCTGAGTGGATTCTGCAGTAATGTAATAATCGGGTGTGTAGCATCATAATCCGTTGCCTGGGAGAAGTGAGGCTGTTGTCGCAACTTTGCCTTCACAAATTCATTTCATGTTCATTCTAGGAAAACAGATGGATAAATCTCTTTGTAAACCTGCAGAGCATTAATAATTAACAAACATAGTCAGGACAATTATGACGACCTTCTGAAGATAAATTAATTTGTTGTGGTGCGTTTCTCTCGAGCAAAGTGTTGCTTCAGAGGTGAGGAGAGGATGCAGTTTGAAGTGGGGAGAGCCCTGATGATTATGATGAAAGCCCTTTCTAATCATGGAGTAGATAAGAGTTGCCCCTAAAGCTTTCAGCCTTGAGGAGGACAAGATGAACTGCACATGCTGCACAATGATGTCCGTACTAGAACTGTGTCCAGCCTCAGCCCAGAAGTAAATATTTTAGTTCTCTGGTCAGCTTTACGATGATGGTGATGGTGGAGATAATGGTGATAGTGATGGTGGATGATGTTGACAACGATGGTTATAATGGTGAACATGAAATGATAATGGTAATGGTGATAAAGTTGATGATGTGACGTGTGTTTTAATAGAAAGAGCACTGGATCAATATTTTTGGTTTTGGGTACCAGTCCTAGGCCCTGGTATTTATTAGCTGAGTGACCTTGAGTAGGCCATATATGGAAAATGAGAAGACTATTTTCCACCTAGCTCCCTAATTGTTGCAGAAATTTTAGAGCTAATATTATTTTCGTTGTTCTTAAATGTACATACTCAGTAGGAATCAAATATGTGTTTTGAGTGAAGTTCGAAGAGACTAAATAGAGTTCTAGGTCCACTCCTTTCCCCAGTCTTGTTCCATTCTGAACGACAGATTGCTCTACATATTTAATCTGAGCTCCTTCACCTGAAAAACAGGGGTACTGACACAATTTGCATAATATTGCAGTGGGAATTAAATGAGACGATATATGCAAAGCATTCTTGTTTCTGCATATAATAGATATTATTATTATTATAATTGCTACTACATAGCAGATATAGAGCAACCTGCCTACAGTCATATGGTTAGAAAGTAGTGGTACCAGTATTTAAAACCATATGGGCATAAAGCTGGGGAAAAAATGTAAAAAACAAAACAAAACAAACCAGATAGGCTTGATCACAAAGCCCACCAATCTTACCGTGCTGCCATGCCCACTGAAACTGTTCCGGCCACACTGGTTTCCCCAGAAATCATCCATATTGATGATGAGGACAGTCCCAATTCCCCAATAATTGATTCTATGTTTAAAGATCATGTTTTTCTGTCTTTTGTTATTTTTTCTGGCTATTCTTGAGCCTTGGCTCTTCAGCCCTGTCTTGTTTGAAGGGAGACAGAAATTCTCTTTCTGCTTTTAGCCGCCACTAGTTTATCTAGAACAGACCCTATTTCTTAGTTCCAAGGGCCCTGAAACTTCATGTTGTCCCCTCTTTTGCCCTTCTTCCCTCTGGATCTATGAGAGATATTCACAAGCAAGGTGCCTAGGAGCTTGTTTCAGGTATTTTAGTCAGTTTTTAAATCCTTTCCCTGAACTACCTGACATTGCAGGAATAGCAGAAATCATTAACACTCAATTTTATTTTTCCGGAAAAAGAATTCATGTTTTTTAGCAGAACATCAAATCGAAATGACCCAGAAAGATAGTTAAGTTTTATTATTCTCAGTAAGAGCAATGCACAGGCAGTGAATCAGTTTATTACTGTACACCCTAGGAAATGTGACAAAGTGCTGTATTACTGTTAGAGAACCTTTGAGCTACTTATCATATCCACCAGCCAGCATGTTACTGACACTGCAGTTTGTGATGCCTGGCAATGCCAAGACTCTGAACGACTGGCTCTAAGGTCGCAAAAACAAAACAAAACAATACTATACTAACAAAATCTATACTAACTCCTAATTCCTAAGGTAGGAAAACGCATATTTTCCTCTATCCATTTGAAAAAATAACAATACGAGAGATAAGAACTATCACATGTGTCTATATCCCTCCCTTCCTCCCTCCCTCCCTCCCTTCTTTCCTTCTTTCTTTCTCTTTCTTGTGGTGGATCCCATTTAAGATCTACCTTGGGCTATGGTCTGCGTAACTCTCTACAGCATTAGTCTATCCACCCATCTATCCATCTGTCCATCCATTTGTCTGTCAGTCCGTCCATCCACCCATACATTCGTCTGTCTCGGTTGCTGGCCAGTCACCCACGTGTCTGTCCATCCAACTCAGCCTACTCTGTGCGGAGTCCAGATCAGCTGTTTTACAAAATATCTTTAAATTTGGATTTGGATTCATCTGATTACTTCCTCCTGAGAGATTCAGGTCAAAGAAATTTGGTGATGGGGTGGGGCAGGAACACAGAATTAGATATATAATATATAACTTTAGTGTATCACATCTGGAGACACTTATCAATTTGTCTCATTGTTGGTGATGTTCAACAAATTTCTCCTTTAACGAAATACAAACGTCTTTTTATAATTAGTACATTGTTTGTGGGTGTGATACATTGAGACCACGTGAATATCCTGTTCTCTAATTATCTCTCAGTTTGTGGTTTAATATCTATTGATGACCCTCATAAGAATCAGTTATTACTGTAGTTGCCATTGTTTTATTACTATAAAGAGCTCTCTCTTTTCTCTCCCTTCCTCCACCATATTCTTTAAAGCAAAGTAATATTGACTTTCATGTAGGACTAATAGGAAACTCTACCTCAGGCATCTTTGGGGCATCTTCACCACCTCCTCACCTGCCAGAGACTCACCAAGGTTCTAACGGACTTCGATAGTTGTGGGAATCCATACTGGTCACCACGGCATTGCCCACCATCAGCCACGTGATCCGTGCAGGTCTGCCTCTTTGGTGTTTCCATAGATTCCTGAGACAATTGAATCTCTGGCAAGTCTGAGAGCTTTATGCCTAACATCTTGTCTCCATGGCACCCCAAAACCTAACTTGTGATATGCCTCAGGGAAGCTCTTCTTCCGTGTGGTTGCCTAGAGGTACCCCGCTCTTTTTCCTCCCACTATCTCTATGATATCAAGCATAATTGGCCCAGTTGTCTTGGTCTTTTACAGAAGACAGGAAGAACCTTTGAATTCAAGGTTGCAGCTTTCCACACTCCAAGGACATATTAAGGGTCTGGTTACCACTTGGGTTACGGTAGCAGGGTCTACAAAAGGTCTGAGCATGCAAAACTCAAAGTTCATCCTGTCATATAGTTTTTTGGAATGACTTGGAATTATAGCTGTGAGTTGTAATGTAAAGTAAAATGTGTTCTGAGTTCCAAAACCCCAACTTACAAATGAACACAACTATTTTTTCTTCTTATTAAAAATTATTGGGGTGTCATTGATCAACACAATTCAATAAATTTCGAGGAACGCAACTATTTTATACATAGAGCCAAGCAGTGATACCTGCAATTTATAACAGTGACTTCTTTTCTACAAAGTAATGTGAGTTTGCTTCTTAATATTGCACTTCCGTTTCATTTTCACTCAACATTTATAGACCATTAATTTGTCAAATCCTGTGAGAAGAATTTATTACTTTTTTAAATTCAATTTTTGTGAAGTTCTCCTGGAGCAAAGTTTTTAATTTGGCAGGTTACCATTTTCCTCACATTCCTTCATGCAGTTTGTGTGTGTGAATGTATATGTGTATATGTGTGTATACAAACATATTATACACATATACGTATTCATATATGTGTTTAGTTTAGTATTCCAAATAAGACCACTCGTTCTGATCGATCGATCTATCGATCAATCTATCTATCTATCTATCTATCTATCTATCTCATCCATACAGATTTATATATATATATATCATCCATACAGATGTCTTACCTTGATAAGATCTTTTCACCTCATCAGCTCTTTATGATCTTTGAAACTTATTTGAAAGTACAGTCATCGATTATTTCATCCTTCTGAGGTCCTCTTCCCTTTCCTGCTCTCTCTGTGCAGAAGGCCATGCTTTCTCTTCCTAGATCCCAATCATTCTCTTTATGTGCATTTAGGAAGAACAAAGAACCATTTGAAGTGGATGACACCGAAGATAAGTGTGAAAACACGGTCACAATTGAAAATGGCATCCCCTGTGACCCCCTGGACACGAAGGGAGGGCACGTTAATGACACCTTCATGACAGAGAATGAGCGGCTCACCTCCCTCTGAAGGGCTGCTGTTTTGCTTCCCCAAGAAACTCAACACTTGTTTCTGTACAACTGTCGAGCACCACAAATGATCAAGGACAGATTACATATTTTGTGTCACCGTTCTTCTTTTGTAAGAAATTTTGAATGTGCATGAAAGTGAAAGGCAATCAGTTATATTCATGAAGACCATTGGAATCATAAGCCGTTGACTACTCCAAATATTCTGAAATAGTTCTCTGAGAACACAGTGTGTAAGGGTAGTCATGCGGTGTTTGTATTTATTGATTTAAAAATGCACCAATATTTAAACATTTCCAGAAATAAGGTCATGCCATACTCTGTATACCTAAGGAAAATGTATATATCATACTCTGAATACCTAAGGAAAAATTTTTTTCCAGTGGAGAATACCTATAATGTGGAGAAGAAATCATTGAAAATGGGTCCTTTTTAAATATCGTTTATATCACATTGTATACAACTAAGTAAGCAAGAATGAAAATTAATTATGGTAAATAGGATGGATAAAAATGGGAGTGTCGATACACAAGGTGGAATTTGATCTTGTAGCATACCAACAGTTGCGTTTATATTTTCTGTCAGCTTTATTTGTTGGTTATTTCTGCAATATTAAAAGTACAATGTATGATAATTTAATAAAGTGATAATCATCTCTTTTTGATTATGTGACTGATTGTGGTCTGAAGTTTATTTTCACACTGTAGTACGTACTAAGCCTAATTTTATCTTTGGCTGAGTACAGTGAACTTTATTGATGGTGCACGACAAGGTAGGACTCCCTAAGCCCCTCCCCATCCCCAGGGGGTCTGGGATGGAAACTAGAGGTCAGGAGATTCTCAGTGTGTTGGGGGATCGATTTGGGGCAAGGACTCCCCAGTAGCTGAGGGCCTCTTCCTCTCACTGGGGCTGGTGGTCCAGGGGGCTCTTATTCCTTAGAGGCCATGTGGACCATAAGGTCCACCACACTGTTCTTGTAGCCAAATTCATTGCCCACCACACTGTTCTTGTAGCCAAATTCATACCAGGAAATGAGTTGGACAAGGTGGTCATTGAGGGCAATGCTAGCCCCAGCATCGAAGGTGGAAGAGTGTGTGTCACTGTTAAAGTCATAGGAAACAACCTGGTCCTCAGTGTAGTCCAGGATGCCATTGAGGGGACCCTCGGATGCCTGCTTCACCACTTTCTTGATGTCATCATATTTGGCAGCTTTCTCCAGGTGGCAGGTCACATCCACAACTGACACGGGGATAGGGATGTGGAAGGCCATGCTAGTAAGCTTCCCATTCAGCTCAGGGATGACCTTGCCCACAGCCTTGGCAGTGCCGGTAGAAGCAGGGATGATGTTTTGGAGAGCCCCTTGCCATCACACCACAGCTTCTGGGTGGCAGTGATGGCGTGGACTGTGGTCATGAGTCCTTCCACGATGCCAAAGTTGTCATGGATGACCTTGGCCAGGGGGGCCAAGCAGTTGGTGGTGCAGGAGGCATTACTGACAATCTTGAGGGAGTTGTCATACTTCTCATGGTTCATACTCATCACAAACTTGAGGCAGAAATGATGACTCTCTGGGCTCCACTCTTCAAGTGAGCCCCAGCCTTCTCTAAGGTGGTAAAGACACCAGTGGACTCCATAACATATTCAGCCCCAGCATCGCCCCATTTGATGTTGGTGGAATCTCACTCCTGGAAGATGGTAGTGGACTTGCCATTGACGACAAGCTTCCCATTCTCAGCCTTGACTGTACCTTTGAACTTGGCCATGGGTGGAATCATACTGGAACATGTAAACCATGTAGTTGAGGTCAATGAAGGAGTCATCGATGGTGACAGTATCCACTTTGCCAGAGTTAAAAGCATCCCTGGTGACCAGGTGCCCAATACGGCCAAATCCATTCACTCCAACCTTCACCATCGTGTCTCAGGGTTGTGGCTGGCACTATGCAGGAAGATGCAGCTGTCTGTTGAATGGGAGGACCAGAAAGCCTAAGCTTAATTTTTATTCGTTGTGTTTAATCTGCTCTATAGCCCCGGAAATGAATAATTGTTGTTATGTGTATCCATGCTTGAAGACACTTTGTAATTTTTAGACTTGATTTTCCTTTCAGATGGGCCATGTGTCATTCTAAATTCTAATAATTATTATACATTTATTAATAGAAAACGTGCTGCTCAATCTCCCACTGCTGTCATCCATAGTTGATGTTACAGTAACAGCCTCTAGCTCACTTCCCTGCCTCCAGTGTTGCTCCTTAGATATCAACTCTAAAGTGAGAAGTTGCCTGCAGAAGTGTTATTGAGCAGTGCACTCAGGAAATACACCTGTAAGAAGTGAGGAAGGCAGGTGTGGCAGACAGACTTTTAGGTGTCTGCCATCTCCCGATGTTCACTCCTTCGTGTAATCCCCTCTCCTTGAGCAAGGATGGGATCTGTGAGTTACTTCTAGTGAATAGACTACAGCGAAGGTGATGAGCCATCACTTCTGCAATTAATTTATATTATGTCTGAGTCTGTCTTGCTAGCAGACTTGTTCTAGAGACTCTCCTTGCTGGCTTGATTAAGTAAGTGGCCATGTTAGGAAAGCCCGTATGAAAGAAACTGTGAGCAGCCTCTTGGAATTGCTGGTGGCCTCTCGGCACTGAAGGCAGCTTCCAATCAATCAACCACCAGCAAGAAGCTGGGGTCCCTAGTCCTACGACCACAAGGAAATGGATTCTGTCGATGACTGAGCTTGGAAGTGGATTTCCCCCCAGTCAAGTTTCCAGATGAGAGTGTAGTCCGGCCAACACTTTGCAGCCTGAGCAGAGGACCAAGTGAAGCTGTGCCCAGTCTCCTAACCCATTAACATTGTAAAATGATAAATGTGTGTTTTTTTAAGCCACTAAGTTTGTGGTAATCTGTTATGCAGCAACAGGAAACTGATAAAATAGGATTAGGCAGAGGAAGAAGTGACCAACAACATGTTTACAACAGAGGCCTCAGCCAATCTTTCAGGGAGCTTAGGAGCTGAGATTGTCCCTGATTGAGATAACGTGGCTGGGCCTTTGCATCTGCACATTAGCCAGTTATGGCCATGAGTGCTGTCTGGGAGAGGGTCTGCCCTTTGGAAAGACAGTTCCCTGGGGCAGGGGGCAATTCCCATTGAAGGACTCAACTGCGAACCTTCAAAAGCCAATATTCCCAGAAGCTGGGGATGGCTACACGGGCCCCTCTCCAGTCCATTGGCTACAGTGTAGCTTGAATGAACATCCAAAATGCAAACTAATCCTGTTGGTTCCTAACATAGAAGTTTTTGTCTTTATTTATTTTTAAATTAAATTTATTGGGGCAGGAAAACAATTAAATATATAATATATAATTTAGTGTATCAATCCGGAGGCGCTTGTCAATTTGTCTCATTGTTGATAATGACATATAATTTTCAGTTCAACATCTTTAAAATACGACACTTGTGTACTCTGTTGTGTGCTCACTAAATGGCCTCTTATCATCTTTAGGATAAAGCCAGACTCCTTAACACAGGGCCTGCTGCAGTTTGACCTTCACTTTCTTCCCTCACTTCACCTCACCCCTTCTCCCCTTTCTGTCTCTTTGTCTCTATGTTGTAATAGTTCCCTCACTTCTAGTCCTCTGAACAAGCTGTTTCCTTTACCTGGAACACGGCTCCCTATCTCTCGGCCACGCTTCCAGCTCATCCTTAGGGTCTCTCTCACTTAAACATCTTGCCTTCCTGAAGGTCTTTGCTGGACCTCCTGGCTATGCGCTCCTAGAATGCCCGGAAAGTTATATTCATCTGGTTGTACTATAATTATATTTAAATGTGTTTTATGGAGGAAGGAGACCATAAGCAAAGAGTGCCCTAGGGCCCATAAAAGCCCTAATATAGCCTTGTCTCTTTAAACATTTCCACAATCCACTTAAGTTTACTCCCACCTCTAACCAGATAGAATTAACTACTGTTTTCTAATCTCACTATATTTATATATCTTTTTAATTATAATGATTATATTTTATTTTATTTGTTTACATATCTCTCAATTTAATATTCTTTACTCTAAATTTAATATTCCTAGAGGCAGTCTTCGAGTCACTTAGCAGAGTGCCTTGTCTTCTTTCCTTCCCTTCCTTTCTTCTTTCTTTCTTTCCTTTATTCTACAATGGTGAGCAAAATCGAACACAGTTCCTGCTGTCATGGAGCTTAAAGTCTCCATAGTCAGAGCTCAATAAATGTGTGCTAATAGACAAGCAAATGAGACGGTGCATGCTCATAGTCATCCCTTCTGAGAGCAAAGCCTGCCCCTCTCTCTGCACAAGCAGGAGTTTGAATCTGTGTGTGCAAGATTTATGACCTGGACACTATTTTTACTTGGGAACCGCATGCTCTTTAAAATTACTAGGGCTTCCTTATTTTTAGGAGAGGAATGAGATTTGATCTCTCAGTTGGCAATATGTGATTTACTAAAGAACCATTTTCTATCTTACATCCTGTTGAGCTATATACTCCAGAATAAGGTAGCTTTCCATATAGAATTATTGAAACATCATCTGAATTCAATCAGTGTGTACTAGCAAGCATAATCAAAGACATGCATTCTCAAGAGGATGAAAATTGTTCTTGGTGGGGAGAAAAATGTTTAGCTATTACAATGGTTTATAGTCCTCCAAAGGATTACAGTACATAAACAGATAAAAAGTATATCATATTAAAATTTCATGGGTGAGCTATTAGGAAAAGATGTCTAAAATGTCCTAATAATGGAAAAAATGGATCAGAAACTCTGATCTTAGATAGATTTCTTATTTATTTATTTGTTTATTTATTTATTTTTCAAAAACATTTATTATGGTTTTGACATTCTGCTAATTGTTTTTGAAATATAACTCAAGGAAGATTTCTTATTTTTAAGGCATGGATAAACCGATTTGATCACTAAATCATTTTCTTCATGGCTTATTCTGATGACGAGGGGGATTTATTTCACTTGCAAAGGTCTGCTCCACTAAATATACTTGTCAGGGAAGTTTTCTATGCAGGCAGAGATGGGCTGTAAACTTGACAGTCAATATAACATCAAAATGGAGCTTATGTCTCCTGCTTACTGCCTTTGACAAACACTCTGGGTAATTAGAGAGCAGTCAATCATCAACTACACATTTTATTTTTAATTTAATGATCCCATAATGTGCCACAAGGGAACACATTGCAAAGTGATATGTAATGGAAATAAAATGTTGTAAAGCAATTGGAAAGATAGCTGTCATTCCAGTCTCCAAGTCCTTAGCAAAAATTACAATGAAACTGGAAAGATGTAAGCGTCTGAAAACCCAGTAACTACAGAAAAAAATGAGCTGGGATGGTGATATCTGGACTTGTTTCACAGAAGTATCGTAAAAGCAAAAATTTGCGGGGGGGCTTGGTATAGTTTTATCTTCCATATTTTCCGCAAGGACTAATATAAAATATCACTATATAAAAGAATACAGTGAGTTCTTGAATTTAGAATGATACGTGATCGGATTCCAGATGTGAATGTCACCAAGTGAAATGTACACACTTATCATTCACGGATAAGGAATAAGAGAGAAAAACAAGGAATAAGAGAAAACACATGTTAAGAACCAAAAAGATTAAAAAAATCCCTTAGAGTTCAAATCCTCAGTCCTTATTTCAAA